AATGACCCAGTACTTAGGACAAGGCAGAGGTTTCCCAACACATTTGTCCCCTGTAGCTCACAGGAGAGCACTGCTTCTTTTATTCTGTAGTAGTACAGAAACAGAGGGTATAAACGTTTCTGAGAAGACCTCTCAGTTCCTCTGATGCACGAGGGAAAGCTATTTTTCAGACAAACATTTCCTCTCCATCACCCTCCCCAGCGCAGCTTTGACCTCCTTGTTCCTCAGGCTGTAGATGAGGGGGTTCATCATGGGGGTCACGATGGTGTAGAACACAGAGGCCACTTTGTCGAGGTCCTGGGAGTGCCTGGAGCTGGGTCGCGAGTACATGGACGCAGCAGAGCCGTAGAAGAGGGTCACGGCGGTCAGGTGGGACGCACACGTGGAGAAGGCTTTGCGCTTGCCCGCGGCCGAGCGTATCCTCAGGATGTTGGCCAGGATGTAGGTGTAGGAGACGAGGATGGTCAGGTTGGTGACAAACAGGTTGAAGCCAACCACCACAAACATCATCATCTCATTGATGGCGGGGTCCGTGCAAGAGATGGCGTAAAGCGGGGGCCCCTCACAGTAGAAGTGGTTGATGACGTTGGGACCGCAGAAGGACAACCGAAGCGCAATCCCCGTGTGGATAGTGGCATTCACGATCCCAGCAAGGTACGAGCCGGCTACCAGCAGCGCACAAACTCTACCAGACATGGAGATGGTGTAGAGCAGCGGGCGGCAGATGGCCACGTAGCGGTCGTACGCCATCACAGCCAAGAGGTAGCACTCGGTGGTGGCAAAAACCGCATAGAAATAGAACTGCGCGAGGCACGCGGGGTAAGAAATGACCTTCCTTTCTGCTAGGAGATCCAAGAGCAGCCTGGGGGTGATTGAGGAGGAATAGCAGATGTCTAGGAAGGACAGGCTGCTCAGGAAGAAGTACATGGGGGTGTGAAGCTGCGCATCCTGCTTGATTAACACCAGCATCCCCACGTTCCCTAGCAAAGTGATCACGTAGGTCGCCAGGAAGACCACGAAGAGGACAGCCTGGACATCCCCCTGCTCGGAGAACCCTGAGAGAACAAATTCAGCATTGGGGGTGCGATTCCCTTCGGCCGTCATTGTAACCATTGCTGCAGGAAAGCAGAACTGCAGAGACAAGTGTTAAAGGTGCTTTTATTTTTATTAGGAAATACAAATAGCAGAGGCAGGAACAACACAGTCAGTGGCTGTCTCAAAACACGTTTTAAAGCAAGTAAACTTCATGAGGAAAATGTTTTCTAATGGTTTGATAAAGGCACTTTGTAAATAGAAAGGCTTATTCTACCTTCTGATGAAGTTTAGAAGTTTGTCTCTCATCAGATCCAGAGAGATAACCATCACAATTTATTCCAACATTAGAAATCTAAGTCTGCATGTAAAAGAACAAAAATATTTGTCTCAGAAAATAGAAAGTGAAAAAGCACTGATGGGAGAGAGAGGCATTTTTTAGATAATTTCCTTTAGGAGTTACAGGACAGATTAAAATAAAACTCAAATTGGCTTATTCTACCTTCTGATGAAGTTTAGAAGTTTGTCTCTCATCAGATCCAGAGAGATAACCACGGCAATTTATTCCAACATCAGAAATCTGAGTCTGCATGTAAAAGAATAAAAATATTTGTCTCAGAAAATACAGTGAAAAGGCACTGATGGGAGAGACAGACATTTTTTAGAGAATTTCCTTTAGGAGTTACCGGACAGATTAAAATAAGACTCAAATTTCTTCCCTTCCTTCCTCTGGAACTCTGAAATTAAGCTTGAAACAGGACATTTAGTGCAAGTATTAACCCCCTTTAAATACGGTGACATCCATGTCATTCTTGTGATGCCACTACGCTGAGAAAGACAGTGGAAAGAGTTTATAAAGGTCAGTACCAGTGGAAACCCCAACAACGCTACAGAGCTGCTATGAACTGGGGGGAGTAGGATACTGATAACACCTTAAGAAAAAAATAAAGAGATAAAATTAAGCTCATCTCAAAACAGAAGTTAGGAATAGCCACAGGAATTGCTCACTGAGAGTTTTTCAGCTATTAAACCAGATTTGATTGTAGCATTGGAAACAACCCTTCTGCCTGAGGAAAGTTCAACGCACGCGCCCTGCCTTGACTTATACCTGCGGCTCCCTTAAATCCGGATTTAGTCAAGCAAATGTTTATACTTCATTCCAGCACTAGGTCAGTTGCAGAAACTTTCACACCCCTCTGGAATAACCCGGGTAACACTTCAATGCTGTGATTGTCCCAGCAGAACGAATAGCAGACCACACACCGCCAGCCCTCCTCTCTGCTCCACGTGGAAGGTCTGAGACAAACCGGAACTCGAGGACCTCAAGGTGTTTTCACCAGCGTCATAACGTGCCTCATGCCAATGATGCTTTGTTAGACTTGATGATTTTAAAGGTCTTTTCTAACCTAAAAGGTTTGTAGGGACGGTTCATCAGCTTGTCCAAGCTGCTGCCTTCTCCAACCCCTGGACAATAATTATGAGTCCCAGTAAACTGGACCCAAATAATCAGCTGCGACTGAGGAGCTGCTGGCCTCTGGCCGTGCCTGTGTATCTCGGTTGGCTTTACTCATAATCTCAGCTAGCGCCTGCCTTAAATCTGTAAAGCAACTTATAAACACCTGGGATTTGCATGAGATACCCTTGAGCTTGGATTTTGCATGAAAACAGGCTCTTGCCTTAAGTTGTCTCCTTGCAACAGCTCAACCTTTTGTAGCATTATTTAGGCTAAAACTCACCTCTTTACCTCAAGACCCTTTTTGGTTTATCAGAGGCTTGTTATCTCCTAGCCCAAAATTTGACCTGAGCAATAAGCCCAGCTGCTCCCAGTACTGGTGTTAAAAGCAAGAACGATTTACCCGTCACGAAGGGTGTCAGTACTTGGCCAAGAAAAGCCGGTGTTTGTAGGATTCTTTCATTAAAAGACCAAGGGCTTTGCCGCTGCCCTCCCGTGTGTGTCATGTGGGACATTTCTCTTGGGAATGGATGGCTTTGGAAACAGCTCCTTAAGGAGGAGGCATGGAGTGATAAATAAACACAATTAGTTTCAACAAGTTAAATATAAATTGAGTATTTTTCCCACTTCTTTATGTACTCAAAGAATTTTATATATATGTATTTATCATTTATCTCTTGGAATCTATAACTTATCTCTTGGAATCAGAGAATGAAAAAGAACTGGTGTAAGAAAGAGGTTCGAGGATTAGGAGAAAGCTCAGGATTTGGAGAAGTATTGCAAATGCTCTTGGGGAGGGAGGGAAAACTATTCAAGAACTCTGCTGCTGCAGCTTATTTTAACATTACCTGGGACATCCTGTTGTTTAAAAACACAGAGCTGGATCCAGGCTTCTGTGAGAGTCACAGCCAGGTTTACGGAGAGAAGTTTCTCTTTTGTTGCTCTTAAAGAACAAAACACTACTAGTACCTGTCATCAGATCTAGGGAATGATTTCCTGTCCATCCACGGAAGATACAAGCCTTTCTTCAGGAAGTTAACAGCTGGTATTAACAAACTTTATGTCAAAGGAAAAGCATAGCTCTGACACTGTCTTCATCCAATTTGCTTCTCTGTTCTTCCCAGAAAGTGTTTTGTGGATGCTGAGCATCCACGCTCGGCCGAATCACAAGCTACTGCTTAAGAGCTACTTTCACCTTCTCACTCTTGAGAGGGGTTTGGGAAGGACTCCCAGACACCAACAGGGTGAGCTGAAGCTTCCCCCTTCACACAATATATCGTTAAATTAATTAATTGATTAATTAGTTAATTATGTAAATAGAGTTGGTTTATGTTTAAATTAACTCTTCAGAGTATGCCCTGAGTGTGACTGCTCTGAGCAAGATGCACACTTGCCGTGTAGCCAGGTCAGCCCATCGTCCTTCACTGCCAAGTGGAGAAAAACATCCATTTTTTCCAGAAAAACTCATCTCGGCCTGGTATAAGTATTTAAAATAGATGAGATGAATCAAAGCCCCCAGATGCATCCTTGTCTCCATGAGAGGAACCGGTGGTGACTCACTCAGATGTGAAAGCCTACAAATAGTTAGGATGATTCCTGGACCGAGGTGACTCAACCCCCAAAACCTGGAAGTAGAAATTATTAATAAGCTGCAGCTGGGCTGGAAAATAAACTTTGCCTGGATGGAGACACAGAAGTCGGAGAGGAGATGGTGGGAGGGTTTGGGGCAATGCTGAGAGTCTTGGAGTCATCAAACAGGTCATGCATGTTTGAGTACAAGATATGGCCAGAAGCACGGAGGTTTTCTGTGTTGTCAACACCACATGATGTCTTGGGAAAAGCCAAGACTGCCCAGGCAACGTCCTCCAAGGCTGTTCCTGACCGAGTTGTGCGACTGATTGTCACGGGATAAAACTCCGCCTTGCTCCCAGGCAAAGGAGCACTGCAGCGTGGTGGCTCCAGGCTGGTAGATGTCCGTGGGGACCAAGATCCCCAGCACGGGTGGTCTGTGTGCAACATACATGAAGTGTGGGGTGTGCTGTCCCCCATAAAGACCCTCCTCGGACAAATCAGAGAAAATAAGAAATCGGGTTTATTGTACTAAAGCAAAACCTTAGGCAACTACTTGGAAAATCAGAAAACAAAGTTATGAGACATTGTCCCTCCCCAACGTGCAGTTTTTATTTAGCTTGTCCCCTTCTGCTCTGAGCCACCTCTTTCAGGACACGGAATTTAATATTGTTGCTTTAAAGCCTCTTTGGTAAAAGGTGTGAACTGTACAGGCTGAAGCACTGCTTATAAATTTATTTACTCCACAAGTTTCCCTGACAATGTAGGTGTTTCTGGGATTGTCTGCCTTTCCTGCATTCTTTCAGACACTGTAATTACAGGTAGCTTATTTTTCAAGGGACCCCGACACGGAATTAATTCATAATTCAAGCTCCTCAGCGTTCAGCACGGGGTAGAGCACGTACATCTCACCAGCCGTGCAGAAATGCACAGTGCCCTTCTTCTGTCAGGTGTCAGCCTCATTTCCTCTGCCGGCTCCACCGCGGTGGGTGACAGCTGCTTCGGTTTGGTGCGAGAGGGAATACACGCAGGAGAGGAGCTTGTTTGCAGCTCTTCTGAGGGCGCTCCTCACCTCCCTGTTCCTCAGGCTGTAGATGAAAGGGTTGAGTATGGGGGTCACCACGGTGTAGAAGACGGAGGCTATTTTCCCTTGACCTTCTGTGTGCCTGGAAAAGGGATGGAAATACAAGAAAGCCGCATCGCCGTAGAAGAGGGCAACGGCCAACACCAAGAGGTGTGAGGTGCAGGTGGAGAAGGCTTTGTGCCTGCCCTCCGCGGAGCGGATGCTCCAGGTGGTGAACAGGATGCAGGCGTAGGAGAGGATGATGGCCAAGACCGAGGTCGTTATGACGAAGCCAACACACAGGGTCAACACCATCCCGTTGAGCCAGGTGTCGGAGCAGGAGAGAAGCAGGAGCGGTGGGGCTTCACAGTAGAAATGGTTGACGAGGTTTGGGCCACAGAAGGAGAGTCAGAGGAGAGCGCTGGTGTTCACAAGGGCGTTCAGGATCCCGGCAGGGTAGGAGCCCACCACCAACTGGAGACGGACCCCTTGGGACACGGCAGCCAAGTAGTGCAGAGGCTCCTGGATGGCGACGTAGCGATCGTATGCCATGACGGCCAGAAGGATGGCTTCCGTGGTGCCAAATACTGCAAAGAATCATAGAATCATAGAATGGTTTGGGTTGGAAGGGACCTTAAAGATCATCTAGTTCCAACCCCCTGCCATGGGCAGGGAACCCTTCCACTAGACCAGGTTGCTCCAAGCCTCATCCAGCCTGGCCTTGAAGACATCCAGGGATGGGGCATCCACAGCTTCTCTGGGCAACCTGTTCCAGTGCCTCCCCACCCTCTCTGTGAAGAATTTCTTCCTGATATCTAATCTAAACCTCCCTGATTTCAATTTCTACTCGTTACCCCTTGTCCTGTCACTACAGGCTCTTGTAAAAAGTCCTCTCCCAGCACCCTAGTAGCCCCTTCAGATACTGGAAAGCTGCAATGAGGTCTCCTCGGAGCCTCCTCTTCTCCAGGCTGAACAAGCCCAGTTCTCGCAGCCTTTCATCACAGGAGAGGTGCTCCAGCCCTCTGATCATCTTCGTGGCCTCCTCTGGACTCGCTCCAAGTGGTCAATATCCTTCTGATATTGAGGGCTCCACAGCTGGACGCAGTCCAGCTGGAAGAAAAACTGTGTCATGCAACCATTGAAAGAAATGACATTTCTCCGCACAAGGAGACCCCACAGGACCTTCGGCATGACGGATGAAGAATAGCAGATGTCCAGGAAAGAGGGGTGGCTGAGGAAGAAGTACATGGGCACGTGAAGCTGAGAGTTTGTCCTGATGAGGACGATCATCCCCAGGTTCCCCACCAGCGTGGTGATGTAGAGGAGTAAAAATGTCACAAAAAGCAGTTCCTGCAGGTCAGGGAAGCCCAAGAGGACAAATTCGGTCACACTCGAGTGGTTTCCCCCAGCCATTCTCCTGGTGCCAGCACAGAGGAGACAAAGAAACATAGGGAAGAGGTGAAATTATTTCTCCCAGCTTGCAGGAATATGTAGTGCCTGCGGCTAGCGCAGGAATTGGGTTTTCCTGGATGAATACACCCATTTATTTGGAGAGAAAATGCCATAGCTATCCTCAGTGGGCAGGTTGAGAAACCAAAATAATACACTGAAAAATAGTATATTGACAAAATTATAGCCAATAGACCACAATATGGGGGGGAAAAGTCGTAAAGCTTAAATCTTAAAGCTCTGGGTGGCACATTATGGGAAGAATTGGTCTTGCAACTGGGGTCTTCACATGAACATCCAAATTCTTTCCAATATGTCGGAAAGCTGGGGAGGATTTCTTTCCCTTTGTTTCAGGGGGGAGGGGGTTCTTATCTAAGGACAAGTAAATACAATAATATTGTGCCTTAATTTGCCACATTAATTAGTGTTGGATTAAATAGATAACAGCCCACGTTGGAGTGATTTTCTGACTCTGTAGTGATATCTTTGGGTCAATTTAAATGAGACTAGCATACCTGATTGCAATTTCACGACTGTGTAGCTTCCAGGGAAAAACACCCTCTTCTAATCTGAATTATACTTGCACACCCTCTTCCTTGCATCTCTTTGCTCTGCTACTATCAGGAATTTTTATCCAAAATTTGAGTTAGGAATTAAGATTCAGGTATGGTTTGGGGATTTTTTTCTCCTTCAGGAAGGACCCTAATAAATTCAATATTCCTTTACGGAAGGGTATCTGCTTCTGCAGGGGGTGGTCACTGAGGGGGCTAAGGAAGCCCTTCCCTATGCAGAAAAAAATTCTCTCAAAACCTCTCAAAATTTCACCCACCTTCTGGCTAATGGTATCTCAAGTCATTCTCAGGAAGAAACTCACTGGTTCTTGAGCTGAAGTTAAAACACAAGCTCCATCCATCTTTCCGAAACCAGGAAACCCTATGGCAGCCTCCAACGTGGCTGGAAGATTTAAGTTTTATCCCCCACCCACAGGACAAATCACCAAAGAGTCTCTGGGGCACCTGGAAACAGAGTGAGCCTTCCCCAAAGAGCCAGGGATAAACAGGGAGATTTCTCTCCGAGGTTTTAGAGTTGGGATCCCCAAGGCACATCAGAACCGACGCCTGCAGAGCCTGAGCGACTCAACTTGTGCACACAACGTTATAATGAGGAGTGAAACACAAGGTCAGGAGGTTTTGTGTTGAAGACTCGAATTTGAAAGATTTTTTTCTTCTCCAGGAACATGGGAGAAAAAAACCCAGTAACTCTTAAGTAATGGATTCATTTAGGGAAATAATTGTTTTGTATCCGCAATGATCAGTTAGATAACTTTTCCTCTATACTACGTATTCCCATAGAGCAGATGTGGATAGATTAAAGAAAACTTGGGTTGAAATGCAGATATCAATTTGCCATTGTGTTGTCCTTCTCTTTTTTGGGAGATAACTTGTCATTTCCCACCTACAGTCGAACACGGTTTTGCACTGTTGCTTCCCAAGAGGCCGAGTCTCAGAGCAGGTCCTAGAAGCAGCATTCGCAGGGATGCAGCTCTCCGAAAGCCTGTCTCTGAGGGTGGGGGGCATCACCCATGCACGTGTCGGCACAGTGAACTCTCAGGTAATTCCCTTCTAGATATTTGCAATTAGGTGCTTGAATTTCAATCAGTACTGGGTTTTTCTTCTTTTTTTTTTTTGCTTTTTCCAAGTGATACCCATCTGCTGGTCACACACCCTGATGTTCAGTATCACTATAATTTTACCTGGTATATTTTTCTTCCCCTGTTCTCATTCATGTTGGTATTTTTTTTAAAAAAAAACACCACTGCTCATGTTATCCACTAGCAATGACATTAAATATGTGTACTGCCTGTTTGAGAAGTGAGTATTGCTACTCCTTCCCTCCTCACTTCCCTCTTTCCATCAGCCTTGCCGTCTGTTTTCTAGCACCAGGAAGATGACGGTTTCTTCAGGATGATTCCTCTTCTCCCATCGCCCTTCTCTAAGCAGCTTTTACTTCCCCATTCCTCAGGCTGTAGGTCAGAGGGTCATTGCAGAAAGTCCCTTGACCGGCTGCCAATGCTCTTCCCGGACTGCTGGCGAGCATTTTGCTGCAAGGACATAGTGATGGCTCATCTTCAACTCAGCGGCCACCCCAACATCCACATCCTTCTCTGCCGGGCTGCTCTCCAGTCTGTCCTGGTACCCGTGGCAATTCCTCCCCGTAGCCAGGACTCAGCGTTTTCCCTTTTTGAATTTTGTGTGATTCCCATCTACCCGTTTTGGACCAAAAAACCTCAACTCTCTTGGAAAAAAACATCTTTCGCATCATGTGCTTCAAAATTAAAGTATCCTCAGGCCAGATGTCTGGTGCTCATGAAAGCAGGAAAAGAAACCGACAGCGTGACTTGTTCCTCAGATGTCTGTAGCCGAAGGACACATCTCCTTACATGTAAATACACCGTGTCACCTCGACGTCTGATGTTCCTAAACAAGGGGGGGCAGCTCCTACCCCACAACAGCCGTACTCACTCAGCTCTCTGTCTAAAACAGACTTAACGAGAATTAAGACAGTTCCACCCAAAAGCGAAGCCAGTTCGGAGGAGAGGGACACCGAAGCGATCGCCGGCCACCGTCACGACCCACCGGGAAGGTGGATGCTCCTTCCCCTTCCCAGAACCAGGCGCGGTGTGGCCCGATGCTAACCCCGCGGGAGTCGGCGACGGCCGTTAGACCCGGCTAACCGCCGGTTTCCCCAAAACGCAGCGAGCGCTGCTTGCACAATGAGCAAAAAGCTTTCGGTTTCGGGAGCAGCAGCTCCAGCCTGAAGCCACAACGAGCAGAGCAGAAGTGCTGTAGCCAGATTGGTGTTTTTAAGGCGCTAAGAGCTTCTGTTCCCCATTAAACGCCGCGTGATGGTGAAGGCGAGAGCAGCTGGACGCAAAGTCATTGAAAATTGTGCTTTACATGTTGCCAAATAATGGCCATAGGCCACTGCAGCAAGAAGAGATGCTCTGGGACTGGAAATAAAACATTAAAAATAACCTTGACTCTTTTATTTAAAGAAAAAAGTGACAATCTTCCCTGCACCTAAACGAAACAGCACCCTGAAGGTGACAGTCGCAGAGGAGCAGAGGTGTGGGAGAACAGCAGGAGTGAGAGGTCCCAGTTCCGTAGGTCCAGATGAAAACATCTGGGGACATGCGAGATGATGGAGGGAGGGGAACCTGGCTCGCTATGGCTGTGTCCAGGCTCTCATCGTCCTGAAACATGTAGTTGGCATGCAACATGAAATAACTATGCCTAAGTGCCATTTTGTAACCCATTTTGGGGACAGAGAAAGGATACATGAAGGCACGAAGACCATCTTATTCCTGTTGACTTGATGCCCCCAGCAAGTCCTCCACGAGCTTCATGTTGCGGCTGAGGGTAAATCTGAGACTTTCTATTGCGAATTTGCCATGTGGGAAATCCCAGTTGGAAACAAAGGGAGGAAAAAAGACACTCTAAAGGTGGTCAAACACCAAAACAGGGGCCAGGGAAGCCCCTCCCGGGCAGGGCAGCCCAGCTGATAAGGGAGGATTGGGAGCGCTAACAGCCTGGGAGGACGTTTGCCCCAGGCTGACAGTGCCAGCCGGGACGATGACCGTTGGCTGGCTTAAATAATAACCAGGGAATCATCAGGAAGCTTTGGGAACAAAGGATTCGTCTGATTGACCCTGGGTGCCTGTTAGTTGTGTGTCGTTAATAAATCAGTAAACCCCTTTGATCCGGACTTGATTTAATCCAACTAATCATCAGGAAGCTTTGGGAACAAAGGATTCGTCTGATTGACCCTGGGTGCCTGTTAGTTGTGTGTCGTTAATAAATCAGTAAACCCCTTTGATCCGGACTTGATTTAATCCAACTGAGCAGCTTCTCCCTCCAACCCAAATGACTGGGATAGCGCTGGGGCTGAGCCAGATTTCACCACGGTCCTGCCAGAGGCTGCAGCCTGTACAGCCTCAGGTAATACAGAAATTGGGGGATTTTTGCTTTTTCACGGTTTGTGCGACCACCCAGCAGCTCCCTCCGCGGGAAGGCGACAGGGGAGACCTCAGGGCAGGCGACGACATCACTCCAGGTTGTCATGGGCTGCAAAAGATCAGGTCTGAAGGAGGAGGCTGCTGGGTAACACCACAGCTCCTGTGACCCGTTCTGCTCAGGGCAGCATGGAGACCGTGGCTTTTCTTGCTGTCAACAGAAAGCAAAGGCGCAGATCGTTGGATGGGGGGTCCTTGATAGTATCTGCCCCTGGGGGAGATTCATCCCTACCACCCCTTAAAACGCTTTCCAAGTACCTTCATTCACAACACAGGTCACCCGACTACTGTATTTAACTTAAATCTTTAGCTGTCTAAAATCAAATGAGGTATATGAAACCTCATTAAACAATTAACAGCGTGAGTATGAAAAAGAAAAACATATTTCCTGCCTCGAATGCCAGCTATTTGCTGTCAGCTCTGGTTTTTTGCTAAAGGCGTTGGAGTCCTAAGGACAGTTCTTATGGCCCTCAATGACCTTACAACCCTGTCTTGAAATGGAATTTGATTTGGTGGGATAGTGGAATTCACTCCTTGTTTATTCCAGTTTGCTAAGCAAAAGGGAGAGCAACACTCTTCACGAAATCAAACTGAATTATCATGTAAGTCAAAGTGCAGATGACCCCAAAAACATTGTTGATCTGAGACATTTAACAAAAAAGCTGAGCACACCACTCACAGCTCCATTCTATCTGGCCATAAATTGACAACATTCAAGGTCATTTTATTTGTGTGAGTCTCTTCAAAGCCTCCTTCACCTCCTTATTCCTCAGGCTGTAGATCAAGGGGTTCAGCATGGGGGTTACCAAGGTGTAGAGCACTGCAACCCATTTATCTCCTCCCCTTGAGCTGTCTGAGCTGGGCTTTAAGTACATAAAAAATGATGTCCCGTAGAAGATGCTCACAGTGGTGAGGTGGGAGGCGCAGGTGGAGAAGGCTTTGTGCTTGCCCTTGGCTGAGCTGATGCTCAGGATGGTAGAGATGATGGGAACGTAGGAGACCAGGACAATGAGGCTGCTGGACACGCCAAACAAAAACGCTGAAGTCCTCAGGATAATGTGGCTGAGGGTGGTGTCGGAGGTTGCGAGTGCTATCAGAGGGGAAATGTCGCAGAAGAACAGGTCGACGGTGCTGGAGCCACAGAAGGATAAATTGCACATGCTGATGGTCTGCCCCATGCCATTTGTCAGCCCCACGAGATATGACCCCGTCACCAGTTGGAAACAACATTTTGGGGACATGATGATGGGATATACCAGGGGATGGCAAATGGCCACGTAACGGTCATACGCCATCATAGCCAGCAGGCATCCTTCGGTCATCCCAAAAAGATCAAAGATGAACACCTGAGCCACGCACCCAGCATAAGCAATGCCCTTCCGCTCCGACATAAAGTCAACCAACATCTTGGGGGTGATGACAGTGGAAGAACAGAGGTCTACAAAAGCCAGGTTACCCAAAAAATAATACATGGGGGAGTGGAGCTGAGGGCTGCCCCTGATTAACACGATCATCCCGAGGTTCCCCAGGATGGTGAAAAGATAGACAAGCAGAAACATCAGGAAGAGGGTGACCTGAGTTGCCGGGTCCTGTGTGAACCCCGTTAAGCTGAACTCAGTCGCTTGGGTGCAATTGCTTCCCACCATCAGCTGGACGCCTGCTTTCTGGTGAACGCCTCGCCGGAGGTTCCGCCCGCAGCCGGCAGGTATCTCCCAGGTGGAAAAACCCTCTTTCCAGCAGGATCTGCTCAGAGACAATCTAAGGGAAGAGTTTAAGGCATAGATCAATTGGAAACCGCTTGCCAACAGTCATATCACAGTGTGGGTAAAACACAGGGGATGTTGCAAAAGCACGGCTTTGCTTGGGCTGTAAAATCCGGCGGCACGGCGTCGTGCTCGGGATGTTCAGCACCGAGCTCCGTGAAATGCCGTGGGCAGGTTACACGTCTGCGTAGCTTTACCTTGGTGCTGCATTTCATCCCCTTTGTTAGCATTCAGCCTGAGATCATCCAGCTCAACCTGAAACACAGAGAAAAACGGTGCTTTTGCAGTGCAGAGTTGATTTTTCACCCTCAAATTGGCATTTGACCACCTCCCACTTCCTCCCTCTCTGCTGGGACTTCTCCCTAGCTATGAAACCTTACAGAGCGGTTTATATCTGTTTCCCCTCCCTCCTGATACACCGGTTTAGTTAAAAAAACTTTTCTTAAGTCTTTAGCCTGTTCCTAGAGTCTTCAAGTAGAAACAGGCAACCCCCAAAGCTGAGCAATCTTTCCTTGAAAGTATTTGAAGGAAAAAAATGATCTTTTGGACCTGCCTCAGCTTCTCAGCAACAGCAATCTCCCAAAATGTTCTTTACAGGGATGAGGTTCTCATCCAGGAGCCCTGGGTGGTTAATGGGAAGAGGAAGCCTCCTGAGTGTGCTCTCCAAGAGGGCGATCTCCAAACTGCGGGAGACGGGTGGCCCCGCACGCGCTGTCCGTGCTCATGAGTCTGGTGCTGGAGCTCCAGCCTGGGCCGAAAGACGATGACCCCTACATCTCAGCACTACCTCTGCTTCCCCCCTTGCGCTCTCAGAGATGGATGCAAAACACGTGTACCTGGAGCTCTGCAGGGGAGGTTGAATATAAACCACCGCCAGCAAACCCCCTCGCTAGCTCACATAATCTGAGGACTGGGGGACCGAGGATCTCTTTGAGCCCCAGGAGAGTGACAAAGCCCAAAGCAGGTCGTTATCTTTACTCTGTGCTTCTTAGGTTGAAGAAAAAGTGTACCCAGAGGAGATAACCTCAGCTGGAGAGAACAACAGGTCTTTGGGGTCCCTTCAGCGCAAACCCCAGGACAACATCCCATTTTCACATCCACATTTTGAACACTTCAGAGACAGCAGCACCCCCACAAGCGCCCTGTTTGACATTATGAAGCCAGGGAGCTGAGAGGGACCTCACCGACGGGGCACAGTCCCACCACGGCTGGCAACAGGGTCCATCAGCAGCCCCAGGCACCACGGACAATGACCCACCTTTTCTACCCATCTTAAATTCCATGTTTGCAAACCACAGCTCACAAGTTTGGCTGCAAGGAGCCAATAGAACATCGCGGTGAGCTTGCTAAGGTCGAGAGTAACAGCATCCAGTGCTCCCCTTTGCATCCACACAGCCATCATCTCGTTGGTCAAGCATGACTTACCCTTGGTACATCCATGCTGGGCACTCACGGTCACCCTCCTGTCCTTCCTCTGCCTGGAGACAGCTTCCAGGGGAATTTACTTCTTGGTTCCGCTTAAGCCTGAGGAACTCACGGTCCTCATGCCCCTCGTCTTGGTGATGACACCGACCTTCTTCCACCCATCAGGCTGGAAATGCACCAACCAAAAGGGCAAACAAAACCTGAGGGTGAGGTGCCCGAAACTGGGAGGAAGGTGATGGGAAGGATCAGATAAGGAACATGAAGAAGAACTGAAAAGGGCAGCAAGTGGGGAAAAGGGCTCTTCTGAAGGGATGAAGGAAGGGGCAAGGGCTGGCCCTGGCTCCGAGGGCTCCTAAACCCAACAGGGGACATGATGAACCTCTTCCTACACCCTTTCCAGCGAAGGAGAGTGCCAAGGGCAGCAGAAACTACTGTGGGATGAGGCCAGGCAACGCATTTTGGAGTGGGAATTAGCTTATATGCAGAAAGACCTGACCCACATCCTTTGGGGAGCAACCTGAAACCTCCCAGGGCCAAACGCAAGAGGAAAATACACACCATACGGATTTGCACCGGCGTTTGGCCAGATCCAGACTCTGCCTCTGCTCTCAGCAAGGAGAAACCACAGCGTTTGGGGTTTAAAACCCTTCCAGGGCCGCACCCTTGGCCTTTCCTTTCCTCTCCAGCAGGATTATCAGCTGCAGAGCATGGTGTGATGCCGTGGATGCGCCTTGGCTGGGCTGATCCTGCCTGGGGCTGAGCCCCCTCCATCCTCCCTGCTGTCAGCGCCGCCTCGCACCTCCTCATCTCCCCGCTCGATACCGGCCCTGCGGC